AACTGGCTGAACAACACCACCCAGCCTTCCTTGTCATTGGCTAGACTAGGCAGGGCCGCTGGGATTTGTAGTTTAACCACCTCTGGAGGGGCTCAAGTTCCCTAACCAGGAGAGGGAGGAAGGGAGGGAGGAAGGAAGGAAGGGAGGAAGTGAAACTTTTGGTGAGGAAGGCTGTAGCTTGTACTATGAAATGATTTCCCAGCAGGAAAATCTGCTGCCCACCTCTATGGGGAACAAACCCAGTACTGTGTGCAGTGTGTATTTCAGACAGCTTGTGAACATTGCAAGAAAATGACTTCCTTCTCCCTCTCAGTCTGCACTGACCTGTGGGATGGTCGTGCAGCCCAGGATGCAGTACAGTAGCACCAGTTTTCTGAAAGAGATACTCTTGGGCTGAAACTTGTCTGGTGCTAGCCAACTAAGATAACTAGGGTTTCTCGTGCTGGGCTTTAGGCATGGCACTTTGAACCAAAAAGGGTTGGTGAACAGACAGCAGAGAATGGTTGGTCAGTGCTGGGAATGACAAAAAAGGCTGTCCCTGGCTTCTTTCGTGGTTGACTTGAACCAGCCCCCCATTGCAGTGTTACAGAGCTGGATCTCCCCAGCTGCTGGCCAGGGGCACCCAGCCGCACACGGCACAGCTCAGGCAGGCATCTCCTGGCTGGGCTGGGCCTCCCGTGGGCTGGCTGACGTGACTGCCGCGCTGATGCTGTCTGCAGTGGCGTTGATTTTCTTTTCCCTTTTCTTTTTTACATCTTGTTTACTTTTGCAGGTCTTGACTCAGGAAAACTTAGCAACAGTTGTGACAGGCGTAATGGTTCCAGCAGGGGCAGTTACTCAACCTCTTCTTATCCCCATCAGTATTGCAGGTCAAGTGGCAAGTCAGCAGGGGCTGGCTGTATGGACATTTCCTGCAGCAACGGTGGCTGCCCTCCCAGGACTGACGGCTGCCTCTCCTACTGGGGGAATTTTCAAATCACCTATAGCCAATTTGCAAGGTAACCACTGTTTCTTAGAAGATCACACTGGGGGGCAAGAGACCAGCACTTGGGCCTAACCAGAAACAGCCTTAACCTGTTGGAAGAGAGTCATTGATAACCTTTTTGAGTTTCAGGAAGGCAGAGAGGGCGGGCAACCATTTTTGCTCTATGTTAAAGGCCAAGGTTCTGGTCCAAAGCCTTATGCGTCCTGTGAACAGGCCTCCCCATTAACTTGAGTGGAGAAACCAGATCCATTGGTAGAAAGGGATACACCTCCATATTGCTTCCTCCTCTGAAATGAATGGGGACGTCTTTGTAAGCGTCATACGTGCATCAAAACCCCCAGTCCACATGATGTTCCCTTGTTATCCAACAGCTTCTTGGGTAAATTATGTCACTATAGTTTTAGTCAGTGTCCCAGCAGAAAATACCGTGCTTGTTAGTATCACCGGTCTGCTATTTAAAGGAAGCTGGGGTTCCAATCAGTAATCTCTGCAAATAACGTTTATTTTCTGAAGACCGTTAAGACAGCAATGTTTAATTAAAAAGGTAGAGCTAGGATTAATTCCCCAGGCACTATTTCTCGCCAGCAGTTAATTCACACAAGGAGCCCGTGATGCAAAGTATCCGGGTGGCTGTAGTTACTCTCAGTTGCAACAGCTGCTCCAGCAGTGATGAAGCCAAGCCCACCAGGCTGTTGGCTACTTGTTCCAGCGGCCTCTGATTTCACCTTGCATTAGAGAGAGAGAATTTCTATCAGCAGGAGAGAGAGAATTCCATGGAACCCAAAGCCCTTCCCGTCTGTATCAATATAATTGATATATCTATATCTGCTTTGTGTGTGGCATATCTTTTAACTCAATCAGGTACAGCAATCCCTCTGAATATGAAATAGCTGCTGTCATATTTTACCCTTAAGGTTTCATTCTTGGCTTATTAGATGGCTTAGATATCGAGAAATAACTTTTCCCACTCCTTTCCCATGGATCAAACCAAGAAATTGCGTGACAAGCTTAATATGGAGACTGGCCTCCCTCCAAAAAGTATATTTCGTGATGACACAATATTTAGTGCATCTCCTTCTGTCTTGCTCTCACAGCTGCTGCAGTGCTGAACACAGCAATACAAGCCCCTTTGCAGCCAGCCCAACCGTTCCAGGCACAGCCAACAGCCCAGCCCCGGCCAGCCGTCCAAACCCAGACCGTGTTCCAACCACCAGCCCAGCCAGCCCTTTTGCCACAGCCGACCACAGCAGCCACCCCACCTGCCGCCAAGCCACTGGAAACTCAGACACAGATCACGGTCCAACCCGCAGGATTTGCCGGAATAGTAAGGCGTTGGAAAACCCCTCCCCTTGAAGAAGACTTTTGAGCTACATTGAAAACAGGGTTGGGAATAAACAAACCTTCTATAAATACATTTTGGATGCAGCTAAAGGTCTTCTCCATCACTTTGGTCCTTTTTGATTTTGCCAAAGAAGAAAGTCTCATATACATTTCTGTTATGAATTCAATACTGAATAAGTTCAATAAATCTAGTAAATGTATTGAATAACATCTGCACCAATGACAAATATCCATTTGTCTGATCCATAAAAACTGATTTCAGCATCCCTGATTCAAAGTCTGAGTCACAACCTCCATTCACTCTTCATTTCAAATGAATGTATGATACACTCTCAGCTTTAATGAATATATGAATGGGAGCCAGTGTGGTATAGTGGTTCAAATGCCAGACTAGAGGTAGGGAGGCCCAGGGTCTAGTCCTCCCTTAGGCCTGGAAGCCAGCTGGGTGACCTTGGGCCAGTCACTTCCTCTCAGCTCTAATCAGCGTCAGGCTCTACAACAAGCTGGCTGAAACACAAAAACGCCCGTTGCATCATGCATCGATAGCTTTGCTGTGCAAACTACTGAGCGCAGTGCAAAACAAGAAGATGCTGCAACCAAGTGGGACAGATGCAAAGAAGAAGAAAAGCAAGTATTCAGGAGGCTCTTGCTAAACAAAGCATAGGCCGATGCAGTAACAAATTACATGTTAGTCGTATTTGAAGATCGGTGCCAAAAGGGCAATCATTATGTATGTGTTCACTTAGAGCGTGACCACTCAGACTGGGTATTTTCAAAGACAACTTTAGGCTTTAGAAAATAGACCGGGGCTGGATACAGTGTAAACTGACCTCCTCAGGAGTGATCAGGTTCCTTAATACAATAAATGCTTCCCATCTACAGAGCATAGAGTGACAAATTCATATACAATCCTGCCTCGTGGAGAAAAGTACGGAGGTAGCCGAGGCAGAGAAAATGTCTCGCTTTGCATGGAAGTGCAGGACATCCTAACCTTTGCTTTTATTGGCTGGTTTGTTCTGTTGTCTCTTGCAGATCAGCGCGGCTTCTCTTGGGGCCCCAACCCAGCTCCTCAGCTCGCTGGCTGCCACACCTGTCATCGCAAACACCATTCCCAGTGTGCAAGGAATAACTGGACAAATCCTGACTAATGCTCAAGGACAGGTAAGGGCCTCCCCGTTCCAGACACAGAAGTAATGTAAGAGCAGGCCGCGTTTAAAGGGCATGGGAATGGATTTTTGCCTGCTTTTGCTGGGACAAAACAGTAAAATGAAGAGGATGGTCTTCTGGTTACAAAAGAAAACCATTTCTGCAATTTTTTCATTAGCATTATACCCTGCCTTTCCTCTGAAAGCTTAAGGTACCTTCTGAGGCATTTTCGTCTCCTGTTTTGATATAGATTAGACATAGAGATAGTGATTAGCCCAAAGTCGCCCAAGGAGTTTTCATAGTTATGGATGGACTCAAACGGGGGTCTCCCTGGTGCCAGTCCAATACCCTAAACATTATACTATCTTGATTCTGCTATAGAAATCTTAATGGGAAAACTAAACCAGTGTTTTTGATAGGAGAATGTCAGAAGGTTCACACATTGCAAACTTGGTGCTTTTTAGCTGGGTGTCTTCCCTTGCCTTCTCCTCCAGGTTATTGGAACTCTTCCATGGGTCGTGAACCCAACTGGAATTGCAACAGCAACTCCTGCCCCAGCCACATTGCCAGCTCAAAATTTACAGGTACAAGCGGTGACACCACAGCTGCTTTTAAATGCCCAGGGCCAGGTCATCGCCACTTTGGCTAGCACCATCCAGACAGCAACCACTGTCAGGAAATCAACCCCCCCAGAATCTCCGGCCAAGAGTGAGGTGAGTCCAACTAGCAAAAATTCTGGGAAAATCATCAGAGGATCTTGCAACAGAATTGCTAAGGTGCCCAAGGAGGACCTGTATGGAGAAGAAAGTGGAGCATGCTGGGTTAGATAGAAATGGGCAGCCTACTGCTTTTGATACGTTGCTGAACTACAATTAGCAGCAATCCAACTGGCATGGCCAAAGTCCAGGGATGCTGGGAGTGGTAGTTCAGAAAAATATGGACAGCCATGGGTTCCACACCTTTACTAAAGTCTGTGCTCAGAAATGAAGCTCCTGCTTTCTTCTGCCTGTCGTACTCCCTGTAAAGTCTCTCTTCAGGATGAAAGTAGACTAATCAGACTGGTAAGGTAAAGTCTCCTTGAAGTCATGCTCAACTCCTGCTGACTATAAGGGCACGTTCATGGAGTTTTCTTGGCAACAAGATGGAAGTGTTTACCATGGCCATTTTCCTGGCCTATAGCCCTAGGTCTCCGTTTCAAGAAGTAACCAGATCTGACCTGGCTTAGCCTTTTCAAGAGCAGTCAAGGTTGGTAAGGTGCTGCTACCTAGTTTGGCCACCCCCAGATTAGCAGTATGGTACTGCTGTTCCATTAACAGAAGAGGTCTACCCTCAAATCTTCAATCAGTCAAGGGCAACTAGACGTTGTGATGGAGGACTAGAGTAATGCTGGAAAAAAGTGTATTTCCCAATTTCTCCAGCAGCATCCTGTGTGACAGGCTGCCTGATTCTGCATACTTCTGGACCTCTGAGAGTTTGTTTTTTTAAAAAGAAAATACCTGGGTCTGGGATTTACTATTAGGATCTACTTCTATCCTAATAGCCTGGGTCCATTAGAAGAGCAAGTTATCTGACTTTGGAAGTCATGAAAGAGCCTCAAATTTTGAGTTACTTTATTATTTTTATTGCTGAGGAAGAGGAAGCACACCAGTGGGATTTTGCATCTCACCTGTCAAATTAGCTAAGCAAGCCTGGGGTGTTACGAAGTTGGCTGGAAGCAGGAATAGCATTTCCTGTTCTGCCTCAGGCAGCAAAACATTTTCACTTGGCCCTGACCCTTGACGACTTGGTAGCTGAATGTGCAAAATACTCCTCTTGTTAAGTGTTGCTTGAGGCACGAGAAATGTTATATCTGTGTCAGAATAATCAGGGGGATTTATAGATAGAGCAACACTGGTGCTCAAGTTAGCAACTGAGGCCCACGTGCAAAGAGCCCTGCCTGAAATCATCTCATCCTGGACTGAGGTGAAAACAGAAGCAATTTTTAGAGCCAGCAGACCATATCTGAAATGTCCTCCCTCCCTCCATTCCGTTTGCCTCTCCAGCACCAAGCTCTGGAAAACCTGATCCTGCTCCTTTTGCAGCTGAAGTCAGTGATGCCTAACATAGACTGGCTGATACCCCTGGTCATCAAGAAACCCAACCATTACTTTATAAGCCTGACAGGAGTGGCCTGCAGCTGAGCTAGAATCTGATTGGCTGATCTGATGTCTAATATTTCAATTGCAATTGGCTAATCTAACGCCTGGTATTTCAGTTGTGAAGTGGGAAGGTGGGCCACTGACCCTTTAAGTAAGAGCTCTTATAACAGGTACTTGAAAGTCAAGATATGTAACTTTATTCAAATTGTGTGCATCATGCAAAATAAGCAAAGATAGATGTATTTCCTAACTTGGCACAATTCTCATTGGCTAATGCGCCTTCTTTGACCATGACTGCAACCAGCATAAGAATGGCTCATGAGGCCATTCTTCACCCATAGCCATTTTATTTATTTATTCATTCATTCAATTTATGTGGCTGCCCATCTCAAACAAGTGGCTCTGGGCGGCTTACAGCAATTTTAAAAACTAGCAAAAAAAGCAACAAACAATGCAAAATAAATAGACAATCTGCAGCCCAGATAAATAAATAAGAGCAGTGTTAAAACCGTTTCTGTCTGAACGCCACTTTCTTCTGCTACATTGCCAGGTGCAGCCAATTCAGCCTGCCCCGACTCTCTCACAGCCAACTGTGGTCATTGCAAGTCCTCCCCCAGCGTCCAAACTAGCTTCTACTCCTGTCCCCATCACCTGCTCGGAGACACCAACTGTCAGCCAGCTGGTTTCAAGTAAGCATGTTGGGATTGCTGTTATTCTTGTGGCAGAGAAAGAAGCTGTCATGGGGCCAGTAATGGAGGTTGGTTCATGATCACTAGCAGTGGGATGTTTATGGTAGAAAGCCATGAAGGGGAATGCCTGATTTCTGTGTTAAAGGGGCATTGGTATACCCTACAGCTGCTGAGAAGAAGGCTGGTGATGATGACATCTGCAAGCATTAATGCAAACCAAAAAACATTTACAGGTAGTCCTCGCTTAATGACCACAATAGGGATCGGAAAATTGGTTGTTAGGCAGGGAGGTTGTTAAGCAAATTGGACCCTATTTTATGACCTTTTTTGCAGTGATAGTTAAGTGAATCACCATGGTTGTTAAGCAAATCACGTGGTTGTTAAGTGAATCATGCAGTTTCAGAATTGATTTTGCTTGCTGGAAAGGTCGCTGGACTGGGAAGGTCGCAAATGGTGATCACGTGACCCCAGGACGCTGCAACCATCATAAATGCAAGCTGGTTGCCAAGCGCCAGGATTGTGATCACATGACTGGGGGGGTGTTGGGACAGTTGTAACTTCAGGCACCAGTCGTAAGTCACTTTTTTTAGCAACATTGTAACTTTGAACGGTCACTAAACAAATGGTTGTTAAGCGAGGACTACCTGCATTACTTGTATTTCTGTGCTGCTCTACTCCTAATAACTACAGCAGTATACATGGAAAAACAGAGGATTAAAAACTACACTACACCAATAAACAATATATGTTATAATGGCACTGGCCATCAGGGTGAATACCAAAATCTAACTTCTTGCAAATTCTCTCTTCCAGAGCCAAGTTTTTACTGCTTTATGATAACTCATTAGAGAGGTGGTAGTTCTTATATATGAAGGCAGCCTGCTTGATAAGATGGGCGCTACCATTGAGAAGATCTTATTATGGGATCCCTATAGATGGAATTCCTTCAGAGACAGGACCTTGGCAGGGCCTCTTTTCCAGATATTATGGTGGGGGGATATTAACTTCAGAAACACAGTCTCATAAATAAGCTGGCCCTGAGCCATTAAGGCTTTAAAGATGATAAACAGCACCTTGAACTACATTTGAAAACTGACCAGCAACTAATGCAATTCCTGGGATACAGATGTTACTGCACAAATCTTGAAGTACCCATTGCTGCTTGGGCTGCTGCATGATGAAGCAAATGGTCTTCAAGGACGGGCCCATGTACTGTAAATTGGAATAGTCCAATTCTGAGGTGATGAGGGCCAGAGTGACTGTGTACAATGCCTCTTGGTCCAGGAAGGGTTGCAATTGGCCCACCAGATCTCCTGGCCATGGCCTCCACTTGCTGCTTCAGCAAGAGCCATGTGTTCAGAAGAATTGCAAGCCAGCTCTGTCTGGGGGAGCATAGTACCATCCAGGATCAAAAATGGTATTTCTCTAGAGTCAAAAGGCTTTCATACCCACAACTATTCTGTCTTGGTAGGATTCAGTCTGTTCCTCCTCATCTAGGCACCAAATCAATGCCTCCACTATATCACTTGTCTGGCCTGGGGTAGTAATGTGTAACTGGATTATTGTCCATATGATACCTTATTCCATACTGCCATATGACCTCTCTCAGCAGCTTCATGTACTGTAGATATTAATTAAGGAAGAAAAGAGATGAGTCCTGTGGCACCCTGTAATGAAGTAATTGTGGGCTCAACCTCTTCCTACCTACCACCACTGACTGAAACCAACCACTCAGGAAGGAGAACCACTACCACACAATGCTTTGCATTCCTAACCCTTGCAGCCAGGGGTATGGAATACCACTAGTAAATCAAGCAAGAGAGGAGAGTCACACTTACTCACTTGAGTCTTGACAGAGGTTATCAAATGGGAACCACTGCAGTTTTGATCCCATACCCAGGCCTGAATGTGGACTGATAAAGGTCCAGGCAATCTGTTTCCTCCAGAATTATCTGTGATTGTGAGCTCACCACTTTCTCTACCACCTTTCCTAAAAAAGGCAAATGGTACACAGAGTGGTAGTTATCTCAAATAGGTGAACTGATACATGGATTCTTGAGAAGAGGGCTCACTAGTGCCTCTTGCAAGGCTGCTTGAAAATACTTCTCTTCCAAGGGTATATTTACTACCTCTTGTACCCTTCTACTAACCAAGAGGGTCAGGGACCCAGTACACAAGAAACCAGGCTCACCACACAGAGAACACTGCATCAAGGCTTACTGACTGATCCCTGGTAACTAAGCAAGACAATGCCACCATATCTAGCTAGTGTCCTACTCTGTATGGATACTGAGCGGATTCCTCACAATGACCCTACAACAGTTCTTTCAAGCCAAACATTCTTAAAAAGGAATGGATCACTTTAAATAAAGCTATTGGGTGGCTATATGTGGATTCAATAAGAGTAGACAAGTAACCCTGATTCACTGCTCTTACCATTACAGTGTAAGCTCAATTAAGAATTCTTATCCATGTTAGTTGCATTTGTCCTTCATTTTACACCAGCATTACTCTTGGCATCTCTTCTGGCAAGTTATCTCCAAGAGTTCCTTGGTAAACCAGGGAGCCTCTATGGATCAGTGCACAAGGAGAGTCCACTCAGGAACAATCCTGCTGAGAGTTCCTGTTGACCTTAGATCCCACCAGACTGACTAACATCTCCCTAGAACTGCCCACCAGAGTTTCAGGAAACTCCCAAGCACCCTTTGAAACCTGCTTGGGTCCAGCACACACCCAAGGCAGACCAATCTAATAGGCTCTTCCTCCCTGTGGAGAGTTGTGGCTCAAGAGAAATCCAAGGAGAGTGACCTAAAGGGACTGATGAAAATGTCCCCCATTTGCAGATCACAACTCAACTATTCTGAAATAAAAACTACTTCCCACCCAGTGCCATGAATGGTGCATGTAGCTGCAGGAGAGAGGATTTATAGTGCAATTTAATCAGAAGTGCAAAATGGAACGAGGATATCATTTTCATTCTTTCTCCTACCAGAGCCTCAACCTCCAAATAGTGGAAGTGATGAAGATGGCATCAACCTGGAGGAGATCAGAGAGTTTGCCAAGAACTTTAAGATTCGACGTCTCTCTCTGGGTCTAACACAAACTCAGGTGGGGCAGGCATTAACTGCCACTGAAGGACCTGCATACAGCCAGTCTGCTATATGTAGGTAAGCCACCTTGTTTCCCTGTGCAGATTACCCTGGGTGGAATGCAGCCCTCAGTAGAAAACTACTAGGTTGCCTAGTCTTCTTTTGAACCAACACTAGGCCTTCCTCCTTCCTAGTTCTTTAAAGAAGCTCCATACCATCAAAACAATAGGCTTGGGGCTACCATATCTGGGCTGAACACCTCGAGATGACCACTAGATGGCAGCAAAAGAGATAGTGTTGTTTGTATCTCTTGGGTGTCATCTAGTGGATATCTAACGTTTTGCAGCCCAAAAGGAGTACTGTAGCCCTAAATAGCATTCCATATCAATTTCTAATCCTGAATTAAATGGAATGTTGTTACGATGGCAGTTATTTTTAAGGGAAAATGTAGAGCCTGCTCATTTTGAGCTCTGCTCTGCCATAAAGGACTGATGAATCAAACTTGACCGTAAAGGCGTTTGTTTCTTCAGGGCTGGGCAACAAAAGGTAGTGACAAGAAGCCCTCCCTGTACTCTTCAATGGTTCCTGCCGATTTTGCAGATTTGAAAAGTTGGACATCACCCCCAAGAGTGCCCAGAAGCTGAAACCTGTGCTGGAGAAGTGGCTGAGCGAGGCTGAGCTTCGGAACCAGGAAGGCCAGCAGAACCTGATGGAGTTTGTGGGTGGGGAGCCTTCCAAGAAGCGGAAACGCCGCACCTCCTTCACCCCGCAGGCCATTGAGGCCCTCAATGCCTACTTTGAGAAGAACGCCCTGCCCACTGGCCACGAAATCACCGAGATTGCCAAGGAGCTCAATTATGACCGGGAGGTGGTCCGGGTTTGGTTCTGCAACCGGCGACAGACGCTCAAAAACACCAGCAAACTCAATGTCTTTCAGATCCCTTGAGGGCTGGAGCTTGCAGCGAGAGCCTCCCTCTCCCTACCTGGCTGCTATACGCACTTTGTGGCTAAGTCTGCCCTGCCCCTGCCGCCACCCGTTGATAGTGATGACTGAAGTAAAAGGGGGGAGATAGGGTCTCCTCTTGTTTATTGTGCCCCGGCCTACTCGCCTACTCGTCAGCTGCTTCCTTCCTCCCCGACGATTGCACTGAGCTGTGAAGGCTTAGGAGTCCATTGGCGTTTAGCTTCTTTCTGTGTCAGACAAAACATGGTCAGTTAAAAGAAAAAAGGTTCCCCTTGCCTGGTTCGTGTGCATTTTCCTTTTTTCTTTTTGATGGTAGCGTTAGGACTGCCACCAGCATAGCATCCACCAAGAATGATGGGCAAAACCCGCTTTCATTTTAGCCTCTTTTCATAGACATCTATCACTTCCTATCCTGTAACAAGCCCCGCTAATCATATCTAAGCAGAGTTGTGGCATAATTTATATCTCCTTTTCCGTGTGAATATTACTATGATGATTATCATACAGAGCACTATTAAACTGAAAGATGTATTATTTGTTTTTTCACCTGCCAGGACCCTGAAGTTTAATATCCTGGTTCCCTGTTGTTCCTTTTATTTTAAGACTGATTTGCCAGCTAGAGTTTCCCTTCCAGAAGGAGGCTAAGTAGAAGAGGGAGGCAGGTACAATTGTTTACGTCTTGGGATATTTTATATCTAGGGAATCTCATGCCAGTAGAGTGGCACTAACATCAGCTGAGTTTTTATGCAGTTTTTCCAACCCTACCTGGCAATACAGATAGTCCTCATTTAGCGACCGTTCACAGTTACGATGGCAACGAAAAAGTAACTTTATGACCAAGCCTCACATTTATCTGCTGTACGGCCA